GGAGGCACTGGGGGCCAGGACTTGCGCACAAGAATCTTACCCCAGGGGCAGGTTCAGTCCCAGTGCGGTGCCTGCTGCAGCCTTGGTGACAGTGGCCTCTGTTTATTCAGTGTCCACCTTGCGCTTAGCACTAACTTGTTAGCAACTCTGAAAAGCAGGCGCTGTTGAGATGTCGTATAGAGAGAAACTGAGGCAGGGAGGAAGTCTGAGTCAGGCTCAAGGTCATGGAGCAGCATGGGCTCTCGTCATGGACCTGTCTCTGGTGTCCGTGCTGGCAGTGGCATTTTCTCTTAGGGCAGCGTAGGAGACGCCAGACAGACAGCTGGTCAGACACATGGGTCCCAAATGTGACGCTGTCCAATGCGATGCTGTCTGGGTCCCTGTACAGGGAGGTGACTGTGGTGTGGTTGTCCTCATCTGTCGTCCTGGGTGGGATGCCTGCAGGCCTGGGGTCTGGGGACACAGTCAGGTGCCACCTCCCAGAGGTCCTGAGTTTGTCCACAGTTGCCAACCCTGGTTGCAGCAGGGGGGGGGGCATAAAACAGATACAACAGCATCCATAGAACCCTGACGTCACCCCAGCAGCACCTGCAGAGCCCTGACGTCCCCCCCCAGCAGCACCCGCAGAGCCCTGATGTAAGCACACAAAGGGGCCAGATTGGCATTTGGCAAAGCAACCAGACCCCTGGTTGAGGGGTGCGGACCCCTCTATGCCCAGATGCACCTAGTGCCGCAGGTCAGAGCTGACGTGTACTCCTTGTGGTGTGGCCAGGCTCCAGGCCTTTGTTCTGCCCCTCTGCAGGCCCTGTACCCTTCCACAGTGCTCTGTGCTCTGTGCCTCGTGGCCCCCCACTCTCCTCTCCCCTCTTGGCCTCCCTGTTGCATGGCTTCTGTCTGTGTCCCCTCTTTTCTGGTCTCCCACATGACAGATTGCTGGCTTTGCTTCAGCCTCCCTCACGTGGGCAGATCTCTGTGGGACCAGAGCCTTTAAGGCTCTGGGTGAGGGACACAGTTTTAGGTGGGGATACCATTCAGCCCGCTACTTCAGCCCCGGTCTTTCTGGGGCTAGGCCCCTGGCAGAGCACCAGGGGACCCCAGAGTGCAGCCTGACGGGAACGCCAGAGTGAGTCTTTTGTGTCTTCAGCCACCCAGGGGCGCCTGGTGCCCCTAGGGAGGGTACAGTGTGGATCATGGCCAGGCCTCGGCTACTCTGGTCCTACCAGGTGGTGTCTCGCATATGCACCTCTTTTTCTGGTACAGGAAGCCCACGAAACAGCAGCTTGGCCGCCCTGTGCGCCAGCTCCAGGGTGCTGTGTTATTTCTGGCTTTTCCTCCCCTGGACAGTCTGGCTGAGCGAGGCCCTGCTGCTGCCCTGCTGTAATGCAAGTCTGGGGGGCTCCCACCCTGCAGGGCTGAACAAAGCGGGTCTTGAGCGTGCAGGGCTTCTCATGGGCTGCCCAGGCCGGTTCTGTGCCGGGGAGGCTGGCTTTCCAACCGGGGTTTTGGTCCACAAAAGGCCTATTCAGCGCTCCCCAAAGCCCTAATGAATTGCAGGCCCTCTGGATGGCAAGCAGCAACCCCCCACCCCACCCCGAGAGTCCCTGTCTGGTTTCCATTCTGCTGTAGGCTGCGCCCCTGTGGCTCAGACACCCTTACCCCACCCCTGCTGTGGGTCCTGGGACAGAGGCAGGGAGAATTTGAGCTGCTGATGTCAGCTTGGTGATCACTTGCCAGGGCAGTGGTCACTCTGGGGAGGGGGCGAGTGTCTGGCTGGAGCCCTGAGCTCTGCCTGAAGACAGGGTGGGGCACCCAGGGCAGAGCCCAGCACCCACATGGCCAGCGGCCGAGTGTCTTGACCTCCCTGGGCTTGACTTGCCCCACCTCTGAGGTAGGTAAGGTGGCAGAAGCCGCTTGGGGGTAACTCCTGTGACCTCCCAGTGTCCAGGGGTTGCCATGGTCATCACTGCCACCTCTGACTGTTCCTGAGAAGTGCCCCAGAGACCGGAGAAGGAGATTCCACTCTTCCTGTGCGCTTCGGGCAGCTTCAGACCCGCTCCTTACAGCGCCAGCAGCTCATCTCACTTCTGTGGCTGATTTCCCCGCACCCCGACTCCCTCTCCTGACTTCCTATGAGGACCTCCCTCTGGTTGGGACTGAGTCAAGGCCCATCCATCTCTGTCTGTCTGTCTCTGACTCTGTCTGTCTGTCTGTCTCTGACTCTGTCTGTATCTGTCTGTTTGGGTCTCTCTGACTCTGTCTGTGTCTGTCTGTATCTCTCTGACTCTGTCTGTCTGTCTGTCTCTGACTCTGTCTGTCTCTGTCTGTGTCTCACTGACTCTGTCTGTCTCTCTGTCTCTACCCCTGCCTATTTATCATTCTCCTTGACCCTCACACTCACTGCCCTCCCAAGACAAGGCAGTGTCCTCCTGGGAGGACACAAAGAGGAACTGGATGTGCCAAACCAGATTCATCTGGCATGGGCCAGACAGAGGAGGGGAGTGGCTGAGGTACCCCAAAATGAGTAGTATTGATATAATAATGTATAATACAATTAATAAAAGTATTAGTAGCAGTTAATCATCATGTGTCAATTTAGTTGGGGTAAGAACTTCTTAGCAGAGGAGTGACGCACACTTCTGGGTGTGTCAGTGGATGATTGGCATGCAGGCCAGCAAACTGGAATACAGACAGGCAGGGGGAGTCCTAGCCCAGAGGCAACTAGTGCTGACCAATGGGGGGCATGGAGAAGAAGGAAGTGCTCCCATTTTTTGAAGAGTTCCAGTCTTTTTGACATTCTCTCCTGCCATCACCTTGGGACATCGGACTCCAGTTTCTTTGGCACCAACAATTCTCCAGGGAGCTTCCAGGCCTTTGACCTGGGCCTGGTGCTGCATCCCTGATCCCTCTCGGCCCACAGCTTCCATCTCTGGGCTAAGCAGGGCTGGATCCTCCGTGTTTCCAGCACGTAGGCGGCCACTGTGGTCTCTCTTTGCTGTTGATACTCTCAGCCACTAGTAAACCCCCATGTAGAATCACAGACATATTTCTTCTTGATTCTGTTCTCTGGAGAACCGTATGTAACACACTATCACAGCACTAATAATGTCAGTACAATAGTGAAAGAAGGCATGGTGACGTGGGTTTGAGCGCACACCTGCAGACCCAGAAACTGAAGCTCCTTCTGTCCCTAAAGCAGATCGGAGCTGAAGGGCTGTAAGAATCCCCCGGAGGCTGGATGACCGTGAGGCATGAATTTGGGGGCCACTACTTTTCCCTGTTTTTTGCAAAGGAGTTGACACTCACTGCAGGCCCAATCTGTCTTCAATTGTTCTAAGGGTGTAGCGACTCCAAAATGGTCCATCAGCATGGAGGGCAGTGTGAGGTTTCTGCTTTTTGTGACCAGCCTTCCACACTTGTATGTGACAAGGACGTGTTCATGAGAAAAACTCCCCTCTGTGTGGGCAATTTGAGAGAATGAAAATCAAACAACCAGTATTGACCCAGTCAGTACATCAGGCTGGACTTTTCAGTGGGGAAAGAGAGCAGTCACCATGCACAGCCACGTCTGGGCCCCAGGCTGTGATGTGGACAACCAGTGGCCATGGGAGTTTACAGGCCTGTCTGGCTGGAGGGAGGGTCTCCAGCCGGCTCTGGCTCAGCGGGCCTGGGAGGAGGGGCAGAAGATTTGCATGTTTAATGAGTTCACAGGTTCTGTTGCCCTGGGGGGGGGGACTCTGGGAAGCACTGGGATCCATGAGTCATCAGGGCCTTAGGGTTTCTGGAGATTCTGATCAAGTGTGCGATAGACTGGGGTCACATGTCCTGACAGGTGTGCCTGGGATTTCCGATCCACCTCAGTATCTGGGAGACATGCGGGTCTCATTGGGGTGCATATTAGTTTCCAGCTTCTTTCTAGAGCTGGATCCTGGAGTTATGGGGCAGGGTCCCAGAGCCTGTGTCTTGTTTGGGATGGGAGCCGAATATTGAACCTAGGACCTCACATAGGCTGGGCAGGTGCTTTTCCACAGAACTACACCCTCAGTTCTTTTTAATTTTATTTTGAGATAGAGTCTCAGTAAGTCATTCTGTTGGCCTTGAACTTGAGGTCCTCAGCCTCCTGAGTAGCTGTGATTACAAGCGTGTGCCGTGCAGGCACAGCCTGTGTCTCTAACCAGCACACTGAGCAGACTGGTGTGGGGGCTCCTCCTTCACAGAGAGAAATCTGTTGCCACTCTGTCAAGCTCTCCCTGCCCCTGGGGTGCTTGCTTGTGGACCCTGGAGGAGGATAATCCAGCCTCACCAGGAAACACAGACCTGTGTTCACTGCATCCTCCATGGAGTGGAGGGAGGGGTGCACCTGTGCACCCACTGAGCTCCCGGGAGGCTCTCAGTTTTCCAATCTGTGAAATGGGAGAATGCTTTTCCTGCTCTCACAGCAGGGTCTGAAGCTGGTTGGCCCACAGTTCACCATGGCCGGGTCACCAGGCTGGCCCTTGCTGGTGACCAGGATGGGAGCCAGAGCCTCACTCTGGGGCAGGGCTGAGCAGGAGCCGGTGGTATGGGTGGCTCGGGCCTGGCAGTGGCCACGCCTGGGGGGTGCACGCACACAAAGCAGTGGGTGCAGGCGCGACCCTGCTTGCTGTCGTCATCAACACCGTTGTGTGCCTTTGCCGGGTGTCTCGGGATCCTCACCAATGGCACTTAGGACATGGAGCAGCAGCAAGCTTGTGAGAAGACAAGGGACCCCCAAGTTGATCAGCAAGTGCAGGTGTGTCACAGTGATCACTGTCACACGGGCCCACGCCCACCCCAGTGCAGATGGAAGAGTGGGCGGGATGGCTGCGTGCGAGGGGGTGGAGCCAGCACAGGGCGCATGTGCAACCACCCGGGTGAGCCGCGTGGCCCCGCCTGGTGCTGGGCATCGGCCCAGGAGACCTCGCAGGTGGACCAAGGGGCCCAGGGCACAGGCCTTTCTCTCCATTTTGTCTTCTCCATTTAAATTTTTTTTGTAAAATTTTAAAAATTTTATTTTAAAGGGAGTAAAACTAAGCAAAATAAAACAAAGCCAACCAAAACAAAACAGTGAAAGTGATACAGGGCTTGAAAACAAGATAATAGAAACTCAGCAATGGCCACCATAATACCTCTTGTCATCTTCAAAGGAGCTGCCCATACTTTCAGATATAATAAAATCAAACTAAACAAAGTAGAATAAAACCAATCAAAACAACCATGAAAGTGATACAGGACTTCAAAACAAAATAATAGGAAGTCAATAATGGCTACCATGATGTATCTTGTTATCTTTGAAATAACTGTGCATGCCATAAAATAAAATAAAATCCAAGTAAACAAAACAATAAAACCAAACGAAAAAATGAAAATGATACAGGACGATAAAACAAGATACTAGAGAATTAACAATGCTACCATCTTCAGAAGGAGATACCTTAGTTGCTATACTGCACATTGTTATCCTCTAAAAATGATGCTCAGACCACTAGCTTTAGGCCTGCAAAGTCAAACACTAAACACTGCAAGCACCAGTAGCTATCGTCTCAGTCTGTGTTTTACCGAATCAACTAGTTGGTAAGGGGTCTCTTGTCTCCCAGCCCACACGACAGCTGGCTCACAGGAAGGGGCTGGCTTCTTGTTTCTCCTCTCTGCATGCCCAGCTCACCAGGCTAGCAGCACAGGGTTCAAGCACAATGGCTTTCAGGCTGTGTATTATCACCAAGCCTTTGAGTCAGCTTAGTTATCATAAAGTGTGAACAGAGTGAAGATTTCATGGATGCCTGAGAAGCAGCCTCCCTGGGAATCTGTCCTCAGTCTCCTAGAGTGGTGGCAGCCAGGGGTCTCTGTGTGGCCCTGTCTGTGTGATTAGGGCTGGGTCTTCTTCCTACTTCCAGGGCCATGCCATCTGCAGACCCCTGGCTAGCTTGATGTCCCTAAATGCATGGAATAAACACTCTGAGTTTAAAGGAAGTAGGTCACAGTGGTAAGCAGTTGTCGGCCCTGTTCTTGGGAAGATGTGCTATTTTTCATGTATTTTACATTATGATCTGTCAATGGTTCTGGAAGCTCCTCTAATTGCAAAGTAGTGATAGGTACAAATGTGAGAGCAGCAGTGATGCTGTGTGAAGATAACAGTGATTTCTAATCAGTGAGCAGGTCTCAGGTGTTGCTCCTGCCCCTGCAGAGTGCTGTGTGTAAGCCCAAGAAAGAGATTGCTAGTGTTTAGCTACATATGAGTGAAAATAAAGGTGTCACTGTTTTTTCTGAAGTCTGTTCCCCAGGAGTCTGTGGGCTCCTGATTCTCAGCCCTGGACTGAAGTTTCCTGGCTTCTCATAACCATGTTAAACTTTTCCTTCTTCTTTTCTCCCTCTTTCTTCTTTCTCCCTCCTTTTTTTCTTTCCCTTCTTGCCCTTCCCTCCATCTCTCCATCTCTTCACCACTGTATGACCAACCTTGACAAATATTTCTAGAAGCAGCAAATGAAATCTTTCAGCCTTGGGCATGGGGGGAGCCTGTACTGTGGGATGCTCGGCCTGATGGGAGCCCATAGCACCTGTGTGAAGTGGTGGGCAGGTTGGGCTGCAGCACTTCCAGTGTCCCCCTGCAGCTGTCTGCTCGGCCGCCCACTTCAGAGGGCTGTAGGAGGACAAATAGCCTCTAGGTTGCAGATACTCCATTGCATGTCTTGGGATGATCAGAAATTCCCTTGGCCCAGCAGGGGCCACGGGGCCATGGGGCGCTTGTCCAGTGCTCTGGGGCTTGGCCATTTTGCTGTAACAGCAAGCTGTTTGGTGACTAGAACTTTAAAAATATATATATATCATATATATATATATATATATATATATATATCCATATATCTCCATATATATAACTCCTATATATATATATATATGTATATATATAACTCCAATATATATATATATCTCCATAATATAATATATTATATATATATCTCCAAATGTTTTGGGCTCTCTCTATTCTCTGGGCTGATTCTCTGCCAGATTTGCTACACTCAGCAGACCCTGAAGTGCTGTGAATCTTGTAATCTACAAATAAGCCTCCAAACTCAAGTTCAGAAAATGGGGCAAAAACATATTTTAAAAAGCAGTGCTGATTTATTTTATCCTGGGCCCAGCGACACAGTGCAGTTGGAGTTTGCAAAAGCTGTGTGTTCTCGTCAAAGCTTGAAGCCTTTATGTACATATCACAGTTTACAAAGTAAGGGGCTATGGGCATGGATCAGGAAATCTGCTAAGGAAATGTTTCCCTTAGCAGAAGACAGAGAAGTCTAGCAGTAATTAACAATCTTTTATCAGCTTATTTTAGCGCCACATCTATTATTTGTAGAGGGCAACAATGGTTAACATATCAATTAGTTTAGGTTCCTAGGGATTTACAATTTTTACAGAGGAGAGCATTGATGAACATGAGAGCATTGATTAAGATATTAATTAGGTCACCCATAGGGGGGAAAATGCATACAGAACAGTACTGCAGCCTTATAGGTACTTTGGTCATATAAACATAACGAAGCTCTTTTTGCTAGTGTATAGCATTCCCCAGTGATTTTAGTCAATGATCCAAATCATTGGCTCATGGGGTTTTTAGACATAGGTATCTGTTTATAACCTTGTGTCTTTAAAATCATAAGCTTTATAGTTTGAACCTGATCTTTGACATAGTTTATGAACTTGTTTACAATACAAGGCCCAATAGGAGGATTAACAAAGGTCCTGCAGCTGCCATTATTAAAACTATTAATTAAAAGGAGAAAGAAAACCAACATTTAAATTAACTCTGTTCTGTCATACAAGTAACAATTTTTTTTCTAAAGCCAGACAGAGGCTTCCTTGGGGTCTCTGTAAGGGAGAACACAAGATTATCAGTTACATTTGGCAATCTTAAGCTTTAAAGAGTCCTTGGAGGAAACAACAGTCCACTTATCCATAGGTTGATCACCTTCAGAAGCCAGGACCTACTTGAAGTGGGAATGATGAATCCAGGCAGGCTTTCCGGCTACTTTGATAGCGATTGGAGTGCTGAGGACTACAATGTAGGGACGTTTCCAATTGCAGCTCAAGAGATTCACAGTGATGCCTCTTGATAAGGACCGGTGTCCCAGGCTCCATGGCAGGGTGTTCATCCTTGCAGTGGGCAGCAGGTGGAGGATGTTGTTGTCAAAATAACTGGTGGATGGAAGTCAGAACTGGCTGAAAAGTCTGGGGGTACTTAATAAGATCTTGATTAGCTAAATCATCTAATTTTTCCTCAGAAATCTTAGGGATAAGAGGAGGAGGTCTCCCATATAAAGCCTCAAAGGGGGAAATACCTGCAACATAGGGGGTACATAAGTCACTCAAAAGAGCATAAGGAAGGAGACTCACCCAGTTCTCACCAGATTTTAAGGCCATTAGTAATTAGCATCTTTAAAGTCTGGTTTATCCTTTTTATTTTTTCTGAACTTTGAGGCCAGTAAGCACAATGGAGTTTCCAATTGATCTGCAAAGCTTAGGTTAGTTTTTGAGTTATCTGGGCTGTAAAAGCCAGGCCATTGTCAGACCCCATGGATAAAGGGGAAGCCAAATTGGGGAAATTGCTATCAGGGCTGACTCAGACTTACTAGGCAAAGCTTTAACACATTTAGTGAAAAACATGTATCATTACTAATAAGTATTTATTTTCTTGAAGTCCAGGCTTCCCTATTTTTGTAAAGTCTATTTTTTAATGTTCTTTAGGCATAGTCCCACGTAGTGAGCAGTTTCTATTTGTTGCAGTTGTTTTGGGTTCACCAATTGGCACTGAGTGCATCTGAGGCTCACAGACTGGGCAAGCTTTGATATTGGCCCCCAGATGCAAGTCTTTTCAAGTGCAAATAGGCTCTGACAAAGTAGGTGGGGTTCACCAGTAATGTCAAGGCAATCTCAGTTCCCACTAATTTTGTGGCTGCCTTTTGGGCAGTGGCGTCTGCCAAATTATTTTTTCATAAAAAAGGTCATCTCCTGCCCAATGGGCTCTAAAGCAGATAATAGCCACTCTTCTTGGCATCAGATGGCAGCTAACAAGTCAAAACTTGGGGAGCAATTTTAATCTTTTGGTCCCAGAAGTCAATAAGCACTATTTTTGATAAATGGCCCCATGAACATGGGCAGTAACAAATGCATACTTTAACAACTTGAGGCCTCAGTGAGGGCAATGAGTTCAGCCTGTTGGGCTGATGTTCCTGGCTCTAGGGTTGGTTCCATAGAATTTGAGAGTCTGTGGTAACAGCAGCTCCCGTGACCCACTTACCTTGATAGATGTAACTACTTCCATCGGAGAAATATAAAGGAACTCTGAATAGTGGCTCATCTGTCAAGTCTGGTCCACAATACAGTCATGGAGGGGCAAGGAGGGACCTCATCACGAAGCAGAGTAACAGGGTTTGAAGCCGTTGTTCTCTTGAAACTGATGGTAGTCAGATCTAGAAATAATGCCTGATGATGCATGATTTGGGAGTTGGGCAGTCATCAGTCTGGTGGGGCCTTGATGAGAGTCTCCAGCAAATAGGAGGGGACAATTAAGAGTTTCTGTCCAAAAGTTAATTTTTAAGCCTCCTTTACCAGGAGGGCCACCGAGGAAATCACCTGCAGACAAGGTGGCCATCTGGCTATCACATAATCAAGTCTCTTGGAAAGATAGGCAACAGGCCTCTGCCAGGGTCCCAAACTCTGGGCCAGTCCTATGGCTCCTAGAAGTTTTTGCACTTGCTTTTTAGTCACAGGGAATGGAATCTGTTGGATGGGTTGCATTTGCTGGGAGGAAAGAGTCTTATTTTTTTTTTAATGGAAGGTCCAACAACCAATGCAGTCTTTTTGCCCAGCAGAAACCTCTTGAGCCTGGTCTTTAGGGTCCTCCCGGTTGTCAGATATCTTTTAAGCAACCTCTAATAACTGACGGAAGGGCATTTTCTCAAATCTCTCAAACTTTTGCAATTTTTACGTAAAAATCTGGGGCTGACTGAGTTATAAAGGCAATATTAATGACCCTTGCATTTTTAGGTGATATTGGTGTATAAATGTGATAGGCCTTTTGTAATCTTTTCAGAAAACCCTGAGGGAGACTGATTAGCCAATTGCCTCACCTCTGCTATCTTGGACATATTGGTGGGTTGTAGGGAGTGGCGCGACAGCCCCATTGCTGCCTCCCTGCCTCTCTCTCCTATGGGCATATGATGCATCTGCCTACATTAACCATAATCCTCTCCTGCTTACGTCACATACCCGGAGGTGATGATGACCCATCAGAAAGCACCCCGTAGCCTCTTCCTGTCCCACCAGCCCGCCCTTGGCCTATAAAAGATGTGATCACTTCCTGAATAAATGAGGCTTGATCGGATTCTCTCGACTTGCTTCAATCTCTCTTTGTCTTCCCCCTGTTCTATTCATCCCCGTTCCCCCTCCAGGTACACCCCACGGATTGATCCACAGGCCGGATCAAGTGGAGCCCAGCGTGGGGGCTCCTGGCACGGGGGAGTCAACGAGGGAGCCGTTCGAGAACGCCGGCTAAAAGTGGAAGCAAATTGAATCAAGGAACGAGACTAAAAGTGAAAGCACATTGAATCAAGGACCGAGGCCTGAGTGGATGACTGCCCAACGTGCCGCCCGAGTCATGGTGAGTGAACGGCAACCTCATTCCCTTTCCCGGACATGGGTCAAGCATTGAGCGAACATAAATTGTTCGTGGGAGGCCTTAGCAAGGCATTAAAGACAAGAGGGGTAAGGGTGAGAACAAAACAATTGTTGCAGTATTTTCAGTTTATCCATAAAGTTTGCCCTTGGTTCCCCCTAGAGGGCTCTATAGATACCAAGAGGTGTAAAAGAGTAGAAGATGCTCTAAAAGATTATTATAGGGTTTTCGGTCTGGAAAAGCTTCCAGTGACCACCTTTGCATACTGGAATTTAATCTCTGAGCTGCTTGCCCAGCGGCATGCAGACCCTAAGATTGAGGAGACGGTCGCACAAGGCCCTCCGAGCTACACAGCCTTATAGTGCCCCTAAGATGGCACCTGCCTCCGGCAAGCCTTATGGCACCCTTAAAATGGTGCCTGCGTCTGGCAGCCTTGCCCACAGGAATATAAGTCATATCAGATAGAGATGCATAGCTCCTGTTGTGATGCTGTACAAGAATGTACTGGCTTAGATAATGCCACTTATTTTACAGCCATACTTACAAAAATAAAAATGGCAGCAGCCGGAGGCAATTGGGGCCTCAACCCCTTTGTATCAAGAAGCCCCATATACACCTGAGCCTCCTGCAAAGGCAAAATCAACAAGCCAGTCTGTTGGTATAAGAGGGCTCCAATCCATGTCTCAGATGGGGGAGGTCCTCAAGACAAAATGAGAGAACTTTATGTTGAGAAAAAACTAAAAGAAATAGAACAGTCTATTCCCAAAGATCAATTACCACCCGTTAGCTCTCCCCCAGTCACGGGGTGTGGATTTAGACCCACAAACTTATGATATCCTTTCAGCCATTCACCATGTACTTAACCTTACTAACCCTGATTTAGCGCAAGACTGCTGATTGTGCATGGCTTTAGGCAGTCCTATGCCCTTAGCCATCCCCTCCAACTCAACAATTGACCCCTTTCGTGATCCACAGAATTTTACCTGTAGACCTTCCCAATCGTTTCTAGTCCAGCCATTATATTCTAGTACACCCAACATATCCATGACCTGCCTACAGGGCTCTCGCCAAAATGATTCTACTCTCATAGATATGGGCCATCTCCTGTCCACAATCTGTGTTCAATTTGTCAATCATACAGCCCGCCTGGACCCCCGACAGGACACATTTTTGTCTGTGGTAATAATAGGGCCTATACCTATATTCCAGCCAATTGGACAGGTACATGCATAACTGCTTCCCTCCTGCCCGACATAGATATTGTCTCAGGTGACCAACCTGTTCCAGTGCCACCACTTGATTACATTGCTGGCCGCCAAAAACAAGCCATAACACTGATCCCGTGTTTGGTGGGAATGGGCATCACTGGCACTGTAGCCATGGGTACTGGTGGCCTTGCCGTTGTCTTAGATAAATATGCTGATCTATCCAACCAGTTGTCTGAAGATGTTCAAGCTTTATCCTTTATTATAAAAACTCTCCAAAACCAACTAGACTCACTGGCAGAGGTCGTCTTACAAAACAGACGAGGGCTAAACCTGCTCACGGCAGAGCAGGGGGGAATCTGTCTCGCCTTACAGGAAAAATGTTGCTTCTATGTCAATCAGTCCGGTGTTGTGTGAGGCAAACTCCAAGAAATAGAAGAACAACTTCAACAGTGACGACAACAAATGGCTGCTAACCCCTTCTCCTCAATGTAGGGGGACTTTTCCCTTACCTGCGCCCCTTTTGGGTCCCCTAGCTGCCCTGTTGCTTCTCCTTTCTGTGGGTCCTTGTATTTTTCAGAGGATTATGACGCTCAATAACTGGATAGACGCGTTTATGGCAAAGCCCATTCAGGTACAGTATCATCAGCTGGAGATGGCAGATCAACAAACCTACCGGGAAGGAATTCCCACGAATGGCCCATATGACGACGCGGCCTAACTGCCCTGGAGCAATGGACAGGCAGCCAGAGACGGGCAACTAGGACATACATGCTACACCACCGGCCGCCTAAGACAGGCACAGGACCAACTGCTGTCCTGCAAGCCCATGACGGGTAAGGCCTGGTTGGGTTCATGTAATGAGGTTCCTTGACCTAAGACAGGCGCTGTCCTCACAGGGCCTGCCATACTCCTGATTAAATATTATAGAAAGGGAGGAGATGTAGGGAGCCTCGCGACAGCCCCATTGCTGCCTCCCCGCCTCTCTCTCCTATGGGCATATGATGCATCTGCCTACATTAACCATAATCCTCTCCTGCTTACGTCACATACCCGGAGGTGATGATGACCCATCAGAAACTACCCCGTAGCCTCTTCCTGTTCCACCAGCCTGCCCTTGGCCTATAAAAGATGTGATCACTTCCTGAATAAATGAGGCTTGATCGGATTCTCTTGACTTGCTTCAATCTCTCTTTGTCCCCCCCTGTTGTATTCTGTTCCCCCTCCAGGTACACCCCACAGATTGATCCGCAGGCCGGATCAGTGGGTTTTCTGGGGTGCCCTAATGGCTACTGGGAACAACTGGCGATACCGATTGGGAACCTCCTTACCTCTGGTTGTCCAATCAGGGTGGGACAAAAGGAAAACATGGTTTTGGCATTCTGGATCAGAGGGCAGGCTTCATCTGGATGGCACACCACTTTTTTGTCCCAGGGTGCCACATGGCAGGTCATTGTTTTACTGAAATTATATACTTAACAAAAAGACTTTTTTATAGGTAACAAAAGTAATTGTGCCATATAATCTCCCATATGTCCACAACACATGTAAGAACTTGTATTTTATCTCTATAATTGCTAATCACATTAGGCACAATAGTTATTTCTTTTAAATTTAGATTGGCTTTTTCCAGTACAAGACGAATTTTTTTTTCTCTGTTTTTTTTTTTTTTTTTCAGCAATCAAAATCTTAACTCTGTCTTTATAATCTATAGCATTCCTGGAAATTCCCCCAAACTCACAGTATTGTAAGTTATCCGGTTGGGCTCTTTGCTCTTGATAGCCATGCCACAGAAAGAAAGCATTTTCTCTTTTACATTTTTACTTTAAGACAAAACCACTTTTTTAAACTTATTACCAGCCAATTACCCTTTTTCTTGCTTTTTAGACAACATTAAAACCTTTAACAAAATCCTTGAAGTGACTTTTTTTAGTAGTCTAAAACATATTTAATCATTTTATGTCTTTTCACCACATTAAAATGCTACATTTTAAAAAACTGTAACTTTCTTAACTGGCTCAATTACAGTATGATCTGGTTTTTACTTGGTAAAGTTAATATGATTTTTAAAACCCATAAATATATATATATGTGCACATATATTCATATTTTAACCAGGAAGAAAAATACTTTTTAAAAGGCATGCTGAGGTTGCAAGTAATCAATTGAGGACTAAAACATTAAACAAGGTGCCACAAAAGACAGAACCAACATTAAAGACACAAATAAAGATTTTTCTGTCCCCAGTTTGGCGAGCTAAAGGAACACAAATGGGCCCCAACGACCCACACAGGCCTAGGTCCCCCACACAGGCCTAGACCACACATACAGGCCTAAGCCCTACACACGGGCCTAGGTCCCTCGCATTACAAATGGGCCAGAGCCCCGGAGTCAGGTGCATAAGGAGTGCTAGCTCGTCTGCAGTCACTGTGCACATCCAATTACAAACTGGCAAAAACCCCGACAGGGACCGAAGCCCAAAGTTACGAATGGGCCCCAAAAGCCCTAAATTACAAAAAAGGGCCCTGGAAGTTGTCTCATTTTATCTGCAGTTACAAATGTGCGCACTCAGATTACAAACGGGCAAAGAAACCAAATACTTACAGATGTTTAGCTGATCGATCGGTGAAAAAATTAATTTGGGGGGGGGGTCCCCCAGTAATCTCAGGCAAGCCCCTAAATCTTGTAATCCACAAATGAGCCCCCAAGCTCAAGTTAAAAAAATGGGGCAAAAACATATTTTAAAAAGCATTGTGCTGATTTATTTTATCCTGGGCCCAGTGACACAGTGCAGTTGGAGTTTGCGAAAGCTGTGTGTCCTGGTCAAAGCTTGCAGCCTTTATATACATATCACAGTTTACAAAGTAAGGGGTTATGGGCGTGGGTCAGGAAATCTGCTAAGGAACTGAGGAAGATCTTTGTTTCCCTTAGCAGAGGACAGAGTAGTTTAGCAGTCATTAACAATCTTTTATCAGCTTATTTTAGCACCACATCTGTTATTTGTAGAGGGCAACAATGGTTAACATATCAATTAGATTAGGTTCCCAGGGATTTACAATTCTGTACAGAGGAGAGCATTGTTTAATATGTCAATTAGGTCACCCACAGGGGGAAAAATGCATATAGAACAGTACTGCAGCCGTACAGGTACTTTGGTCATATAAACATAACGAAGCTCTTTTTGCTGGTGTACAGCAGTTAGCTGTGTGCAGTGTGGTGGACTCAGTGTTAGAACCTTTGCGGCCCGAGCAAACGACAGCCAGGGACATGAGAAGGAGGGGCTTTCTCAGGCAGGGCTTTGCTCACAGGTTTTCCTCGGAGGCTGAGGGAAATCTTAGGGTCCAGAGAGGCACTGGTTTGTACTTAGGACTTATTTTTCCTTTTGATTGATTTAATTAGAATTTAATTGTTGAGGTTACGATTAACTTTATCCCTGTGTCTCTTCAGGAAATGAGTTAACCTGCCGTTGCTCTCATGGGTAAAGTATGTGCTGATGCATTCTGCCTTTCGCTTCTGCGGCTCTGTCAACCCCCAGCCCCCTTTTTCCCTGTCAGTGGCTCCAGGATACCTAAGGAGAGATTTTCCATGTAAGTAAGCCAAGTTTAGTAAAAACAGGAGTGTACATACATATGAGATGTGATAAAATACAGACTATTTCAATTAAAAACTTATGCAGTAAAACCTCATCACCATTAATGCCCTTAAAATGCTTCCCTCACTGTGAGCACACTCACCCCACGGTCCTGGCACCTTTCTGCAGCAGCTCCGGAGTCCCCTTTCCTGGGCATCTTTAGTTGCACTGTTCTGGCCACCTCGCTGTCCTGCATGGATCCCAAAGATTAACTTGTCACGGTCACTTTGACTTTGGGGAGGGGCCAGAGGTTGCACGGTGCCAGAGCCAGTGAGCAAGGTGCACAGGGATGCAGCGCGATGTCTTCATGGGCTGCCTTCTGTTGCAGGGCACCCAGCATTAGTTAGATAAATGGTGGGGATCCCGTAGGAAAACTCAGCCAGCCTGCAGGTGCTCACTTCTCCCCTTCTCCTCTCCTCCCTGGCCCTTTGCCCGCCTCCATCTCCTTCCTGTTAAACCCAATCCTCTGTGCCCTGGGCTCCCCTGAGCAGGGTCCCTGTGGGATTTCCTCTGCCTGCTGGCTTGGTCCTCTGTGTACCTGCAAGAGCACGAGTGTGGGAAGCCCTTTGGCTGACCCGTAGCTCATGCAGGCATCGAGAGGCCCCTGCGCCTGGGTGGCAGGATGACACACCTCCTCCTCTCAGCCACCCATGAGGCAGCTGCTGGACCAGTGCTGCACCCCCCATCCTCTCCTGCAGACCAGGGCTCCTAGAGGGTTCTGATAACCGCTGTGGAGGGAGAAGGTTTGAAGGAGCACTGCAGAATTTGACTGTCAACTTAACCCAAACTTGGGGACTTTTCAGGATGTCATTGACTATAACATTGATGTTACTTGGCTTCTTAAAAATGCCAGAAATGCTCAAGGCTGGGGTGGCACTTCTGTGTCGTCACTGGCTGTCTTCTTGTTTTCTGGCCTGTTCTCTCTGTTCTGTGGGCAGCAGGAGTGCCTATGCCTATGCAACCAGGGGAAGGTGGTGGTGTATAATTATGCTGGTGAGGCATGGTTTCTGAGAAATTGAAGTTCTCTTCTCATCACCCGCCTTTGCAGGTGGTGAGGTCTCCATTACTGGGAGTAACCAAGTGAGTTGGCCAAGAAAACCTCCTGGAATATATCAATTGAAATATTTAAGACTGTAGGGCTTGCATGCAGTAATGAGCTTTTGGGGTTTTCACCTTCAATGAACCTCACACAGGGTGATTGCTGGAGAGTACAGGGTGGGGTTGTTTAAGCTCTCCCCAGCCTTCCCTTCTCCAAAGCACCTGAAGATGCTCCCTTGAGACCGCTCTCCCCAGAAGTGTGTCCCTGCGTGTTACATCTGTGATACTCAGGGTGCCTATGGGCAATGCACCAGCTCCTCCTGGTGCCTTTGGAAGAGGTGGCATCTTCCTGGGCTGCTCCACAGCTGGGGCCCTTGACCTGCAGTCCAAGGTCACGGCAGGCTGCTTGTTGAGGTTGCTCCAAGCTGCAAAGGCAGAACTGGAAAGTTGTGACAGAGACCATCGGCCATGAGCCTGGAATGGTTGCCAGCTCCTTGTTTATGTCCTCACTCTGTGCAGTGAGACCAAAGATTATGAGTGGGTGAAGGTTTAAATCACAAGATTGGCACAGGGAAAGACCCGCAGACACTCATCTCCCTGAAAGTCCTCCCCTTCGCTTCACACACACTCGTTCTATTGCCCAGCCACTTCCTGAGGCAGCTCTGGAGTCCTCTTTCCTCAGTGTCTTTAGCTTTGCTGTAGTGACCACCTCCATGTCCTGAGTGGTTTCAATTTGTTCACTTTGCTTGGTGATTTTGACTTTGGGGAAGAGCTGGAAGTCACACAGTGCCAGATCCAGTGACAAAGGGGGATGAGGACATAGCTTTCACTGCGTTACTGATCAGACCCCTAAACACACGTATCAAAGAGGACTCCAGAGCTGAGTCAGCAGGTGACCAGAAGGATGGATGAGCAAGTGTGGAGCCAGGGGAGGGTTTCCAGCCTTACTGGTGACAATGTGTCTTTCCCTGCAATACATTTAGAAAATGTATTCGTCGCACAGATAGAGGAGAATGGAAACAAATTCCAAGCTCAAGGCTGTCCAGGTTTTTGCACCAGCACCGCGCACAGAGCCCGGAGGCAGAAACCACCACACACCCCTCCACCAGGGACGCCCCTCCGCCAGCTCTACAATGCAGTGCCTCAGCCACAAGAAGGGGCGAAGCACTCACACCTGGAAAAGGTGCTGAGCCACGGAAGTTGGATACCAACCATGACGCAGCGTGTGGCGCCATTCATAGAGACGCCCGGAACGGGGACACCAAAAACAGGAGAAGCAGACTGGAGGAGGCCAGAGGTGAGGGCCTGGGGAGGGACTGCTGATGGCCTTAGAGGCCATCAAATTGTTTGCTTTAAAGTAATTGCTTTTGGAAGAGACTGAGGAAGGCTTCATGGAACAGGCAGGACTTCAGCTGGACATGGAAGACTGATGGGAAGATTAAAGGATGATGCTAGGGAGACATCTGTCTGTAAGCCAGGCCTGAAAGAAAGAAATGCGCCTTCCTGGTAAGCAGCCATGGCGCGAACAGCGGGTGAGCCAGGAGGAGAACCAGTCAGCGTCTCCTGTGAGCCTACCAGCCCGTGGGCTGAGAATCAAACATCCCATCCTCTCCCCAAGTTAGCAGCTGGGGGCCAGAGGTCTGAGCACCTCTAGGGAGGATGACCGTATGCAGTATAGAAATACGGAGGATTTCCTTCTATCCTGTCTTTGAAGTCAAATGTTGTTTTCACTGTTTTGCTTTATTCGGGTTAATTGTTTTGCTCTATTCAATATTGCTTTGAGTGGTTTTATTGTGTTTTGTTTTTGGTTGGATTTTGCTATCCTTGATTGAATGGACAGCTATTGTGACGATAATGAGATATACCATGGTAACTATTACTGTTATCCCGGCATCCTGCTCTGAAGTTCTGTACCAATTTCACTGCACTGTCTTGATTGGCTTTGTTCTGTCTTGTTGTGTTGTATTTAACTCCCTTCAAAATAATAAAAAATAATTACTTTTATGTTATGTCACTTTCGTCTCCTTTTAAAAAGTAGTGCTGATGCTAGCAGTGTGACATGCAGGCGTGACCATGGCCCCACGAGTTTTTAGGGGTCAGCCTCATACTGACCTGCATCCATATGAGATAATTTGGGGCAGGTTAGGACCCTAGTATATCTTTTTTTTTTTTAATGGTTAGTGGGGTAAACACCATTCAATCCATAACAACAAGAAATGCAATTCACCGGGGTGTGGTGGAAAGTAGTCTTCTTTTCCCTCTGGCCCTAGCCACGGCCTTCCTGGGGTGGGTTTTCCCACTGCCCCCGGCTGTTGGACTTGGCCACTTGCCTTGCACTGGCTGAAGGCCTATGAGCTGATGGGAGAGGCCACTCCTATGCCGTGTGGTTTGGCCTTACTCCTGGTGCCCCTGCCATTTATCGAGAGGAACTCACCCAAGTTGGCAGGTTGTCTCAGTCCCAGAAGCAGAGGCAACTGGTCCTGAGTCCCAGCAGCACCAGTCAACCTGCAGAAATAGGCTGAGCAAAAAGCGTGTGTTTGTTGTTTTGAGCCTGGGAGTTTGAGACCATTTGTTACATAGCATCATTGCAACAGGTGCTGGCCAGTACACAGAAACTCTGGTTGCACTTTGTGAAATAACAAAGGTTTATAGACTCATATGAGATCACTGTCCACTCCAACACTTATTTTACTGATGAAGAAGCCAAGGTACTTAGGAGGTTAAGTGACTTACCTAGAGTCCCAGAGCAGTGGTAGTGAGGCAGAATTCTGTTCTCTTTGTGTGGTATGATTATTGATGAGGTTGGGGTAGAAATGGAAAGGAAATGGAAATAATTTGAAAAATTTCTTCCCTTCATTGTTGCTACTGTGCCTGGTCAAGACCCGTGAAAGGGAGATTATGGAACAACAATATGGATATGAATTTTGTCTTTTGGTGCTTCTTCCTTAGAGGAAGACAGAGCATGAAATAGGTCCGCTCAGGGCTGATGGAGCCAGAACAGCAGATTCCACACTGCATGGTCCTAGGCCAAGGGGATGGAGGTCCAGATGCAGCTCACAGCACACGCAGACTCAGGAACGACCCTTTCACTGGCCGCATGCAGAGGAGTGCTGGGCCGGAAAGGCCAGCGTGTGGGTGAGGAGGGGTTCAGGGTGTAGGAACTTTACAGCGATTCAGTGAGGAGTGAGTGACCGCTAGATTTTAGTGACCAAAGCGTTTTCTGTAGCAGCCTTGAGTGCCCAGATACATTGTCCTGGGGCCGGCTGCTCCATGGCAGCTCCTCACGCACAGTGAAAACGCAGGGCTGTGGGCTCAAGAATGGTTAAGATTTTCAAGAAGGCAGCGTCAGTGATTTGAATCACACTTAGGGCCTCCTGAGTGGGGGCCTTGTGTAGCCCCCCCGGGTTGCATCCTGGGAACTTGTCCTGTTTGTCCTGAATGCTTTAGGACGATGACAGTTTCAGGGGCATCCGCTGCGTATCACGTTATCAACCATGATGCATCCGCCTAGAAAATGCCAGAATCAGGCTTTGTACGAGGCAGTTATATTTGGGTTCCGCACGGTGGAAGTGACCAGCTTTGCTCTGAGAGCAGAAAGTGAACTCTGCCCTTTGGTCCACCCTCTGGGAAATTCTCCCAGGTTACCGTGTGGCCCCCAGCGCATGCCTTTCCCGGGGAGTTTAGCGCACTCCAAACACGCTTTCTATCTAGGTTGCTAGGAGACACAGGATGCCAGTTAAAGCTGAATTTCAGATAGGTAACAGATTTTTAGCATGTCTCACGCACTATTTGGGATATACTTACACTAAGAAAAGATGTGTTATGTATTTGAAATTCAAATTGGATTAGGCATCCTCTCTCTTCTTTGTCAACTCCTACGCCTCTATATTAAACACCTTCTTAAGGTGCTGGGACTATCAGTTATGGCCACCAAATCTCGGGCACAGATTGGGAAACCAAGCAGGGCTGACTTGTTGGAAAGGTGGAACTAAACCAGGCACGGGGCCTCTCAGGATGCAGGTCTGTGTGTGAGTCCTGCCAACAGGGTGGCAGATAACAATAGAATTTTGTTCTCTCCAAGTTCTGGAGGTCTCCACCGATGGTGTCCATGGAACTGAGCCCCCACTGGGCGGGATGTGACCCGGGCTTCTCTCCTTGGCAGGGCCAGCAGAATCCCAGTCTTCTCATGGGCTCTCTGTGCCTCCCCTGGGGGTTCTTGTCTCTGCGTGAGCCTGAGACACCAGCCCAGTGGCTTCCACCCACTCTGGTGACCTCGTATTTACTTGATTGCCCTTGCAAGGACCCCATCTCCATGTGAGGTCACGTTCTGAGATGTTACGGTTTAGGACTTGAACTTGGCTTCCCTAGGGACATAATTTAACCATAAATACAGGCGCAGGACAGTTCAGGGTCTTTTTTTGTTCTTCAGTTTTGTGGGATGACCTGTCTGTGTCTACTCTTTGTGTGATTAGCTTTAACTGATGACAGTCACAGCAAACCAAGAGACATCAGGTTCCAGATGGGCAGCTCATCAGAGGACACACTGTGGACAAAACCAGAGCCATCCATGGAGAGGTGGCCGAGTGTCTGTCTCCAGCCATTGAGGGGACATGTGGAAATTTTTGGACGGGAGGGAGCACACACGCTCACTTCTGCAAAGCAAACATTCCTGGAAACGCTTGCTTCATGCAGGCAGCCCACCCACTCTGCACAAATATTACACAAGCAGCCTTAGCTTTGGAAATCAAGGGGGAAGAGTCTGCAAAATCCTTCGGAGCCATGGAGCCAGTGTTTACCTCAGTCTCGAGGCCTGAAACAAACACCTTTCCATTTCCATGGTTTCTGCCAAGAAGAAAGACGTTTTCAGCTGGCAGGGGTAGGAAAAGGTATCACTAGGGAAAAAAAAAAAAAGATGTTGACTGGGTTGTGTTGATTGGCAAGCTCAGCTGGGACTCTAACCACTTTAATGCTTTATCAGAAACCGGGTAACAGCCAGTGTGGACAATATCTTGTTGAATGGGCATGAGTAATTCTAATAAGGATGTGAGTCTGACACCTGGAACTGGCTGGGTTAAATCCAAAGCCAACGGTAATACTCAAAAGGAAGCCTTGGCCATCGTGTGAGACAGTTTGTGACAGACAAATACTTGGTTTCATATCAATGTGTACAAATATTTTGTATCAATCAAAAAATAGAAATCAATAAAGAATCCAGCTTTGATCAACACTTTTTCTTGCTGCTTTCTAGTGAGAAGCGTTGATAAGACTCTTCTGGAGGGCTGAGAAATGGAATGTTCAAGGGGAGGCACACAGTGATAAAATCATCTCTAAAAATTTTCCTAAGAGTTGTCCAGCTTGGGGCCACATACGGAGCGGCACCAACCAGCAGACACACGCTGTCCTTTCAGAATGTTGCACCTTCTTACAATCACACTCCCGAGAGGAAGGAGGACCCAGGAACGCGAGCTCTGAATGAGTAGCATATTTAACCCAGTATATCCAAGCTCTTACCAGCTCTCTGCACAGTCAACACAGAAGCGATTTGTGAGGTATTTTACATGCTTTGCTCCACTCCATGCTCCTGGAGCTCGTGTGTGCTTCATGCATACAGCGTGTCCCAGGTACCTGGAAGCTGAAATCCTTGGTGTCAGTGGGTTCTCTGGGCAGCTTCTGCTGTCCCCTTCTGCCACCTGGAAGAGGAGGATGGAGAGGGAGAAGAGAATGGGGGAGTCAGAGGAGGAGCGGTGGTCCAGCCCCAGGCGGGCCTCTTGGGGGCTCTGTCTGCCCGTGGATGTTTGCTGAGCCTGGTGCAGACCGTGAGGGGAAGCAACATACGTAGATGCCATATGGAGATGCAGGAGTGATAATCTCCAAGCAGGAAATCCAAGAAATTCCCGAGTTAAGATTTTACCAGAAAGATCAAATCATCCTCAGGCCGTGGAGCTAAAAGAGGAAAAACAAAGTAAAACAAAACAAAAACAAAACCAGGAAGAAACTCAAGAGATTATGGAGAAAATATCCAACCGGATCCTTCCAGGGTGGAGAGGATTCCATAGGGATGGAGGAGGTCTGAATATTCTGGAACTTTCTAGGCTGGTAGGTGACATAGATCTGCTCGTAGCCCCACATACCTTCCTTTCATGTGGGTTTCAAGAAAGGTGCCTAAGAAGGAAATGAATCCGAATTCTTGGCTCACAGATACTCCCCTGGAAACCAGGTCTCTGGTTTGAAGGAGGTGGTGGGGTCCGCCTCTGAGGAAGTACTTGTCAAGACAACCCGGTGCATTCCACCGTGCTGAGGGACGGCTCTGCTTCCCTGTGGAGGAAAGGGACAGAGTGTGTGGAATCCCAGCATCTTACCTTTCACCAAGACACACAAAAGGAAATGTCTAAATCGTCTCATGGACAGAAGTTTCTAGAACAATGGGTGCCTATTAATAATCACTTGACAGGCTTGGGTTCCTGTGGGGACATTCAGGGAGTCATGTGTGTGTGTTATTATTGAATGTTTTCATTCTTTTGGTACTGAGTGGAACTCTGGGAAGGTAGGTAACAAGGGCACACTCACCAGGTGTGAGCTGTAAGAGCTGAGAGGGCCTGAGGGTGGCCCTGGTCCTCTGGGAGTTGGTTCCTTAGCACTGTGCTCCGGACTCAAGGGTATCATTTCAAATGGTGCCTCCTTCATCTGCTCATAAAATTAGGGTAAAGTCTGTTTCCGTGAGCTACCCAAGTTGGAAAATCGAAGTGGAGAGTGAATAGTGATCTTGGACATATTGGCATAGGGCACACTGATTCATGTGCCTTGGATCTTGCTGAATTGAGTTTTTTCTTACCTGTTTTTTTCTTTCCTATTGGATCATCAGCATTTTCCCTGTCACTGAAATTATTTGTAAGCTTAATTTTTAAAAACTTTTTAGTGTGGAGGTTTAAAAGCATGTACCAAATTAGAGAGCAGTTGTTTTTATCATGAATCTGGTGTACTGGTTGCTCAAGTTTCCGTAATTATCAATACTGT